CCTCACTCACACTCAGCACACACACACTGCACACCTCCTCCTGCGAGAAGAAATGTTCCGTTTAGCGGTGGAGGATGTGGGGGTCAGGACCCAGGGGTGGGCTTTTAGGAGACAAATAAACATCAGAGCAGGAGAAGGGTGATGACTTGTTTACACATTAGCGAGCATTTAGCAAGTCTCACTGTTTTCAGTGCGTCTCTCCGGTGGCCTCTCAAACAGCTGATCTTTCTCTTTTGTTGTCCTTCCAGCTCACGATCAACACCGGTGGAATCATGTTGAACAGTCTCAACTTGATCTTGATGAGGAGCCGTGCTGGCGTACCTGATCAGTCCTGGATCACGTGTCTTTTATCCATGAATATCCATGAAAAACCGGGAAGATCCAGAATAATTAGCCTGCAGCACTTTTGCCAGTGATTGTCATCAAACAGTCTCTTGCACATTTTGCGCTGCTCTTACCCTTCCAGTGTTTTTCTTTTAAACCTAATCAGGCAAACACACACATACACGCATTTGAACACACTAACTCACAAACTGCATCTTTCTAATACCATCTAATGAGGTGATGACCAACCACTTGTTATAATTGCTTCAGTCTCCTTTTAATTTTCAAGCTTATTAATCATATGTAGAGTTATTTAAGAATGCATAAATTAATCTTAGATTAAAAAGCCTATCAAAGCTTCAAAACAATTAAAGAGTAAGGTAAGATTTCCCCTGGGCTGGCACTTTTATTTTAATAGAGTGTTCAGGTGATTATCATACTTTGATGCAGCACTGTGATTAATGCAGACACACTTTTAAACGAGCTGTTCTGGCTTGCACACATAAAAAAGGTAGAATAAGCACGAACCTGACGATGACCTCACTGACTTTTTTTTTTTTTTTTTGTGGAGGGTGGGCTACTTTTCCCATTTCCTCGCCTGTAGGTGTGGTTGAAGATCGCTTTTTACACACCACTTCCTGCAGAGAGGGAGTCCTGCGAAATAAGTCTGTAGCATTAACAGGAGAAGAGGGTCGTTGTCAGTCTTTTGAATACTTGAAAGCATGCTCATTTGGAGTGGTATATATACATACATATAAATGTTTCTACTTCCACATTTAACGTTGACTGGACAGAAATCTGCATTAAATTCATAATTCTGATATCAGTAATATGCATTTTTATTTGCATTTTGCAACTATTTTATTATTATTATTATTATTATTATTATTATTATTATTATTATTATTATTATTATTATTATTATTATTCGCGTGGCATCACATGGTACACCTCTCAGAATAAGTGAACAATTACGGATAAGTTGTTATTACCGCTCTGCCCCACTGAGGTCGATGGGGCCAAAGGGATCGCGTCCTGTTACCTTCATCAATATTACATGACTGCCTGTCGCAGCACTTGTGCCAGATGAAAACAATTAATCCAAACCTTTATTGGCTTTTAAAGGGTAAATGTTGGTCGTTTATGGCACGAGGCTTCACAGTTTTCCTCTCGTGGATGCCTTTCTTTCAAAAAAGAGGGAAAGACCCAAGCGAGAGATCACCAAAGTGACCTTATAGAGCAGCTGGTGATTGTCACAGCGCGTGTTTAGGCCGGGGAGCTGGTAAACGGCGTGTCCGTGGGAACACAGCACATGATGAAGGCCTGAGCGCCGTATTCATAGGCGGACGCGCACAACAATGTGTTGGGGGGTCCCTGCTGTTTTTAGTGGAATGCCTGATCCCACTGCAGCCTCCTCCGTGCATAATGCCAAATAACACTGAGAAGGAGCAAAAAAATAATGAAACGCGTGTAACCGACACCACATCATGACGGAATTATGATAAAATAATATCTTTTTTTTAATTTAAATGTATTTTTATCATATTTAAAATATAAGAAAGCCGATTGCTTAAAACAACAACAACGATTTATTTATTTAATGTATCTTTTCTAAACACTTTACCCAATAAACCTCCAGGCTGCTTTAAGACTAAGCACTCAGATCAGCTCATCTTCATTGGTCATGAATCCATAGTTAATTCAGACTGCCTGTGTGAGTGGGAGTGTCTTGCCATAAGTTTTGCCGTCACTTGATTGCGATCGTTGTCGTGGAGTGGGGGGGCTGTACCACAGTCTGCCTGCCATGTGGACTCTGCTGCTGCTGGTGGCGCAACACAAACCATCCGCACACATTGAGAGGGGAGCAGAGAGGCGGGAGGGAGGCGGTGCTGCACGGACAACTGCGTCCCACTCCTAAAGCAAACATCTTCAAGTCCTCCAGCGCGGAGTTGTCATTGCTCCGACATTCACTTGATCACAGCTTTGTTGTTCACGGCGGAGGAGAGCTGCGCGAGCGTCTGAGGTGAGTTTGGAAACATACTTTGGGCAGCAGATGCACTGAGTGTTTTTGGGGGTGTTCCTTATTATTTACGCGCAGTCTCTTTGATATAATCGTGTTCATACACTGAAGAGGTTTAAGATTTTAAAGCAAATATAATTCCGTGAACTTTAAGCGTGGAGTACCTTATATGATTTCTTTGCAATGTCCTAAACACGAGTCTCTGCTTTAAAGACTAATTTCTAAAAATAAAGCATCAGCTTCGTGTGTCTTAAATTAAAAACGAAGGCCTGCAAATGACTTGTCCTCGACCTAAAAACGCTGCAGTGAAGGCTAATTATAAAGCTGGAGTTTTGGCGTTCGTTTAACTCACGTGTTCATATCAAACCTTGCTTTTCTTTTTTTTTCCCTTGCAGCTTCTAGGCCTCCAAGGATGGACTCGATACCTGCGGGGCGAGACTCCACTTCCTCGCCAAACTCCAAACAAGAACTTTCCTACCCGAGCACTAACTTGAAGCCCAACCAGGTCGGAGAGACGGTGCTGTACGGAATACCGATCGTGTCTTTGGTAATAGACGGCCAGGAGAGACTGTGCCTCGCACAAATATCCAATACCTTATTGAAGAATTATAGCTATAACGAGATACACAACAGGCGTGTCGCGCTGGGGATCACTTGCGTCCAATGCACCCCTGTCCAGCTGGAGATCCTGCGGAGAGCAGGAGCGATGCCCATCTCCTCCAGGCGCTGCGGGATGATCACTAAACGCGAGGCAGAGAGACTCTGTAAGTCCTTCCTAGGAGCTCACTCGCCCCCTAAACTTCCGGAGAATTTTGCCTTTGATGTGTCCCACGAGTGCGCCTGGGGGAGTCGAGGCAGCTTCATCCCGGCCAGATACAACAGCTCCAGGGCCAAGTGCATTAAGTGCTCCTATTGCAACATGTACTTCTCCCCGAATAAATTCATATTTCACTCCCACCGCACGCCGGAGTCCAAGTACACGCAGCCAGACGCAGCTAATTTCAATTCTTGGCGGCGGCATCTAAAACTAACAGATAAAGGCAGTGCCATGGAGATTTTACACGCGTGGGAAGACGTGAAGGCCATGTTCAACGGGGGGAGTCGCAAGAGGACGCTGCCAGGCAGTGGGTCCGGGTCTAGCTCTCCTTTGAAACCACACGAGCCCAGCCGTCCACAAAGCTCCCCGGAGATCCCCGCAAAGATCCTCAGCTGCGAGGGCAGCCGGGGTGCTATGACGAGCACGCGCAGCTACCCGGTGATCCCGGTGCCCAGCAAGGGCTTCGGGATAATGCAAAAGATCCCACCGCCCCTCTTCCCTCACCCATACGGGTTCCCGGCTTTCGGCCTGTGCCAGAAGAAAGAAGACGGCATGATGGGCGAGCAAAGCAAAGCCGGCCTCCCGGGTGTGCTGTGGCCTGCCACCAAGGACAGCGCCTACCACTCCTTCCCCATGTTCTGGCCCGCGGCCGGCGCGCTGCCCATGCCCCCATATCCCCAAACCCAGCACAAGCCCCCTCCAGAGCTGCTGTGTCCGCCCAGGCAGACTGACATGGACATGTCCGAGCACAGTGACCGCAGCACCAACACATCGAAAGACAGCGCGGTCGATAACGACCGATGCTCCAGCACTCAGTCTCTGCGCAACGAAGAAGACAAGTCAGGGGACGAGGGGAGGCCGGCGGAGGGGGTGCCGCTCCAGTCCCGGAAAATCAGCTACGTGTCGGCGTTCAGACCTGTCATCAAAGACGCTGACTGCATCGCCAAGCTGTACGGCAACAGGAGCGCGTACAACGGCTGTCGCACCGGTTACTTATCGCCCGACTTTTTAAGCGAGAGCTCGAGCTACCGCTCTGTGTCCCCGTGCGTAGACAGCGAGGGCGAGCCAGACGTGGACGTGGAGACAAACAAAACGCAGGACGAGGAAGAGGAGGAGGGCTCCCGGCCTCTGTCTTCGGTGTGTCCTCGGACTCCCCTAGCTTTGACACACACCGTTTCACCACACGATTCTGACTCTAAAGGCCTGCAGGAGAGCAGCCTGGTCGATTCCCAGAAAACGAGCCTGCACGTGGCCCAGTCCTCTGAAAGAGAACTGCAGACCAAGCAGTTATCAGAGAGCCACATAGCTGCACCTTTCACCGAAGTGAGTGACTTCAAACACGGGCGATAATTCAGAGCTGTAATTTTCCCCTGAAGATCGGGTTCTGTTCTTTTTGCCTGTATGTGTACGTTTCAGCAGAGAAATGTGTGCTTGTGGGGGAATTTCTGTCTATGTTAAAACAGTGTAACAGTAACAACAAAAGGCATGTCCACATCACTTAGGAGGGGGAATAAAATCTTTTATCGTTTCTCTAATAAAATATCTATTCATTAATTAAAGGTTTTCACTATTCATTTATTAATGTTTTACTCCATTACAATTTTTTTTTTTTTTCACCAAACTTCAAAGAAGTGGTAATTCTTTTTCCTTTAGGTTTACACACCAGAGAGGAGTGAGCTGCAACAAAGGAGCAGTCCGTATCAATTCAGAGCTGCGAATTATCCGCCTGGAGTAGGCCTACTTACAACAAACGGTTAGACTTTTATTTTCCTGCCTTTGTTTAAAAAAAAAAAAAAATTTGAAAAAAAAGGGAGGAAAAAAATTATATCGACTTATTTTGTCTTAAGATGAGAGTGCAAGTAAAGAAGAGCCGTCTTCCACAGTGGAGGAGATCGAAACGAAATCTTTTAACGAACAAAGCAGCGAGGAGCACCAGCGAGAGCCGGATGAAGGTGAGTTACACCGAGGTCAGAAAAAAGGGATTTCAAAAAAAAAAAAAAAAAAAAAAGCTCAGGAGATGTGGGACTACATTTTTGCCGAAGAACTTAATTTATATTATGTGTACTCAGGCGAGGACGCGCCACCCAGAACTCTACCAACACAAAGGGACATACAAAGTCTGGCAAAAGGTAAGCTATCTACTGCTTCTATTATTATTATTATTATTATTATTATTATTATTATTATTATTATTATTATTATTATTATTATTGGTGTTGTTGTTTACATTTGACGTAGCCTACTTTATTGAGTTTTTCTCCATCACATACATTTATAAATATAAAAAAAAGCTAATGAGAGGTTGTAGATTAGCGGGCCTAAATTTTATAAATCAAGCAAAACTTGAGTCAGTTTCAACGTCCTGTCGCTCATCTGCACCTTCAGAGCCTTTGTATTTTCGAGGTGGAGCGACCCTTAATTAACAAATTAGAAACACTGAAGTTAAAGTTAATAAGACAACACCTCAGACTTTCCACTTTCATCTTTTGTTACATAAATGTGGGGTTTGGCGGGGGTGTCGTCTGCAGTCCAGGAAGACCTGCTCTGAATTTTCAGTGCAGATGATGATAATGATGTGCTCATCACTGTCATTAAAAATAGCAAAAGTGTCCTACATGGAAGCTGATGGGAAAGCCCTCATCTTTTCTCCTTCAACACCCGGCGTTTTTGTTTGATTTTGATTTGTTTCTTTTTCTGTGTTTATTTATTTGTTTATTTTTGCAGAAGAGCTCCAAAAGCAGCTCTTGGAGCAAGTGGAGCTGAGGAAAAAGCTGGAACGTGAATTTCAACATTTAAAAGGTAAGCTAATCTCTGCCACGGTGCATGTAAAGGCAAATGTTCCTCCTCTCTGTGACTGAGGCCAAAACATAAGCCTTAATATATCAAATTCACCTCAGCAGTAGTTCCCATGTGCTGCAGCGGAACTAAATAACTGCTGTTTTTAATCTGATCTACCTTTTCCCCTTTTTCATATTGATATACTGAGTATATTTTTTTAAAATATATGTGGACAGCAGAAAAAAAAGGGTAACTTTAAAAAGTCAGTGTTTGATTTTTACGAAACACTAACTGAAAAATATCTATAATAATATAATTATATATAAAACTGTTCCCCATCCACCACAATGAAAAATGTTACAGAACATTCCCATCTGCAGTCGATACATTAAGACCATCTGGATATGACACTAACAGCTTCACACTGGCAATGTAAAGATCATGATTTTGAAAATGAAACTAACCATGTCCTCAAGAAGCAGCTGCACTCAGGTGATTAATCAGGTGAATATCAGGTGAGATATGAGCAAAAAAAAAATTTGTAACTTAAAATAATTGTATCCACCTTTTCTTACAAATAAATAAATACATTTTTTCTGAAATATATTTTATAGCAGTATGAATATTTGGCAGACTCATATAAAAATTGAGAATTGATGTAATACCCAAAATATGTGCACTGGTTGCAGTACAGGTAAAGATGAATAAAAATTAAGATAAACCTGCAAGAATGGAAACTAAATGATGTCACATACAGGTAGTTAAGTGATGATGAAGGCTTCCATATATAAAACTATTTGTTTTTCAAAATTGTTGGAAAGAAATTAAACCTATATGTGGCCCATTTAGCATATATATATGTATATATTATTTAAATTACAATTATTAATAAAATCTGGGGACAAGACAGTAAAACTTGCTAATATTAACCCTGTAATATCACTAATATTGAAAACTATTTTTTATTTTAATTTTGATACCTAGCATAATCACCCTATTACTATATCTGAAAGTAAGACTGTTATAAATATAAGAGTGGTGACGAAACATTATCAAACAAAAATCTGAGCAGATGGTTATGATATAACATATATAAAGGGTATTACGTTTATATTTCTCCTAATATAAACATGTCCTTGCAAATGTTTTTTTTTTAACTTTCATCAGTGGCATCAATATTTTAATTATATGTCGGATTTATTTTCATTTAAATGCTATAAAATATATATATATATTGTCATAAGAAAATGTTTTTGTTTCCAGCTGAAGGCATGCCCGGGTGTTTGCTACCGTTGATGCCCTTGGTTTGTAGCTTTAGCTTGAGAAGAGCGCCCTCTACTGATCAGCTGCCCGACAAGTTTAATGCATGCATCTGTTATGAATGGCATCAGCCTCTTAAAAGCCTTAATTTATAAGAAACTATTGCCTCTCTCTAAACAAACATTCCACTTTGTTTGTTTATGCTGTGGAGGTTACATGATTGTTAAAAATGACAAAGATCAGCGGTACAAACATTTCCTACATGGTGCTGTCAGTAACTTTGGGGACAGCGGTGGCTAAAATGAAGGGTTTTTTTTCTGTCTGTGAAATAATTGTGGTTGGTTTACTGGCTCAGATCTTTCATTTGCTTCTCAGATAATTTTCAGGATCAAATGAAAAGGGAACTTTCCTACAGGGAGGAGATGGTCCAGCAGCTTCACATAGTCAGAGGTGAGAAAAATAAAGCAAAGGCAGCGCACACAACAGCGTTTCAAGATGTTTCTAACTGTGGGATTTACAGATATTTTATAGCTTATTTTTCATGTAAAATCACCGACGACAGCCTATGTGCTCAATTAGGTTTGTTTTACTGTTTTCATATATAACGGACAAGCCTGATTTTTCACATGATCTCTGTTTTTGGCATCAGGGGTGCAAAGTGGTGAATAGTATCATAACGTAACGATTTATATCAACAGATATTAGTGGCCAGCTCTTGCCTCTTGCGTGCACACTTTCCCCGGTGAATTGCTCCAGAAAGAGAAGGTTGATGGGTAATTGTGGATGGACAGGCTATTTAAGTGGATGGTCCACAGCCTCTTAAAACGCTTCCAAACTACTTGTTTTGAGCAACTCCGACTCATATCATGAATCGATCATATCATCATTTAACTGTAAACGTGCAGTTGTGTTTAACTTGTCTTATGTAGGTCTAAATATTTAAACAGCAGCAGCCTCTGTAATCCGCAGCAGGATGATTTACGCTCACATGCGCGTGCACTATTGATTGTTTGATCTCCTTCTTCATAGAAGCTCACGACGCTTTACACCATTTCTCCTGTAAGATGTTGACTCCTCGCCACTGCACCGGATCCTGCTCCTTCAAATCGCCTCTGCTACCACCGTGAATCAGACACAGGGGCGCGAGGACACAGCTTCTGTTAAAAACCACACCACGGGAGATTTAAAAACCACCACGGACACTCTGAGCCAAGCTGAAAGTAGTCTAAAGTGTAATTACCTGTAATATTAAAAAAAAAAAAAAAAAAAAAAGTGGATCTCCACCCTCAGCGTTTATGTATCTCGCATACAGTGATTTGTTTTATTGAAATTATCCCATCGATTATTATTATTTGTGGCAAAGTGCAATGACAATGTATGTTTGTTGTAAAGGTGGGTTATTATTTCTTCTTCTTCATTTTTTCCTCCCCCTATCAACAATAGCAGCTTTGATAAGACGGTTCATTGCTCCTTATCCTCTCAGTATTGTAAATAAGCCTACTAATTTTAATGTGTTCTTCCATGCAGGCCAGTAGCTTACCTTGGATGTTATGCACTTTAAAACGAGTGGTGGGAATTACAGTAAAAAACAAAACAAAATACAAAAAAGCCTCCGCGTTGAAATACAGCATATTTATTTCTGTAGCGGCCTATTTGCTGTTGGAAATTTGAAAAACACAGAAATTAGTAGGCTGAATTAGTGCATCTGCGACCTTGTAAGCAGTGACATATCCTATTAAGAATAGCCTATTCCTCCATGTAATATTTGTTTTTGTCGCTAATGAATAAATCATTTTATTTAAAGAAGTGTGATTTATTTCCCCCCATATTTACATTTCTTTTTACCTTTTTGATTACCACAACTTTTGTTTTTCTTTTTATTCCTGCAAGTAATCAATCAACACAGGATCTCGTGAGCCAGTGGACTCCTAATTTAGCAAAACCCACTTATGTGAGTGCACCTTTCACCTTTGTGAATGAATGAATGAATGAAGCTATATGCTGTAAGCGTTATTTAAATAACTGTTTGTGGAGGGGAAAATAATGCCATATCCATGAGAAAACAGCTTTCTACACGCGGAAAACAAGCAACCCGAGGCTATTTTGAGTGTGGAATATTCGTCTAGGTAATCGACGACTGAGACCTAGATCCAACTTCCCAGAGCCCAAGGAAACAACTTGAAATGATCAGGTGTTTAGTTTTTTTTTTTTTTAATAAATAAAGCGATAGGACAAGGAAAAAGTGGCGGATTCCCAAGTTAAAATTGCCAATATTAATTACGTCTAAATGACTTAATTATAAGGATCAAATATTTCCATTGTCAGTTGACAAATTAAATAAAAGATTTACAAATTATAGCACAAATAAAGGGAAGGAACACTGCGTCTTAAGCCTAATCGCGACCCTGTTTTATCTTTACGTACTGCAGAGCAAAACGCATCAAGCCAACTAAGATCTGAAGGTGCGCCCTGCTTTTGTTCAAAGTAGTCTGTAATACCTCGGAGACGACCTGTGGTCGTTTGTGTTCCAGCAGCGCCCCCTGCTGTGCACTGTGGAGAATGAAAACCGACTTTTTTATGTTTCTTGAGGATGGCTGTTGCGCCTGCGCAACCAGTGTAACAAGATGGCGGAGAGTGCGGAACTGAAGGTAAAGCGAGTACATACGTTAGCTTGATAAATAAACGTTTCACACACTGAGATTTCAATTTCAGGTGTTAGCGCCGTTGACACTTAACAGTAGACACCCGAAGAGTGTTGCTATGAAGGCATATGATAAGAAAACAGCAGAGCAGAAACGACTAGATACACAGTTAGCTGACGAGCTAGTTCGGTAGCACTAGCTTTGTTATTGTTGCACACTCTGCGTTAGGCTCTGTCTGTGGTTCACCTGCACTTAAATAAGGCCGGATGTGGGCTTTAGCAAGAGATGAAGCTAATATTCCTGTCAGCGTGTGAAACCCACTGGCATTGTAATGTTAGCCTCCTAGCCTTATCAGTAGTTCGCCGTGCGAACCGCAGTGTGTGTTAAAGATGGGCTCTGTCTATTCCCTGGAATCCGAGTGCAGGTTAACTTGGATTGGCTATACTTTTGACATCTAGTCCAACAAATTACAGACACTGTCCACACTCCTGTTTTAATGTAATCCAACGCGATTTGTTTTCAAACACAAGTTAACACAATGAAAAGTCTTGTTTTGTTTCAGTGAGGTCACACCAGCATCATGCGGGCGGTGTTAGCTAGTTTTTTACTTATTAAACCACCGCGGTGTGTCCCAACTTTCTAATTTAATATTGTTAATGGATTATTATTCCACTGTGGACAATTACACTACACGTAAAAGGCTTTCATTTTGATCTTCACTTCAAATGAACTAATATCTGCGATACTCACACCTTGCATTGCCAAAGGTGATCATATCAACAGTACTGTAGCAATTACTGAGGTTGATCAGTAAGTGTTACTTTTGTACAGCATAAAATGCATTTGAGATTAGCTCACTAAAGATTTAAATCTATCTGTAATTTCTAAGAGTACCGCTTTTGACTTAAGAGTTGGATTTGCGCAATAATACAGTACACTTCTTTAATCTGGCTACATCATGATGTAGGGAATGTGTTATAAATGTGTTTTCATGCGTGATTCTAATTTGCACTGCTGGTGTTGCAGTTAAAAGAACACAGATTCTAACACTAATTAGTCATTTGGTATTTAAAACCACCAAGACTGTCTTTATTAGTGGTATATACTATACTGAGAGAGAGCGCTCTCTGTGATCCCTTATTCTTGAATATGGCAGGCACCACCCTGTTATGGGAGTGTGTTACAGAAAAAAGCAATGCCATTGTAGTCATCTCCAAACTATGTTTTAAGTTTTCTCAAGCCAGCTTTAAAAAGTACATGTTATGCAACTTCACAGTATAATTTGCACCTCTAAGCCGTCATGAGAATATTTTCCATTGCTTAAATATTTATCCCGGGTAGGTCACTGATTGATTGTCAGAGGAGATTACCAAAATATTTGCATATGGACTATATGATTGCAGCCTGTCTTTTTAATGCTGACGTTGCTTTATTTGTCTGCAACGCAGTCATCCAGAAAGATATTACAGCATAGAGTCAGCACAAGAATATGAGTGGAGGCTTTACAGTATAATGTAACATAGTACAAACTATTTAAAATTGACTTTTATTCTCACTGTGTCTCAGAGGCTGCCATGCAGGCTAGTGTTGTTGCTTTGCTTCACTGCATTTCACTCTAAAATACTTGTTTTGTTTTGTTTTTTAAACAAACATAAAAGAAACTCACGTCCTGCTAAATCCTTGAAAAAAATAAAACCACCATATAGTTTAATGCAGTCTGTTGCAGCGTTGCCACCCTCATTGTCAAACATTACCAGAGTTAGATTATCTTGGACAATGTCTCAAAAAGTTTCTGTAGTGGCTTCCATTATTTTGTACAGCTGACCATGTCCACATCCTGTTTTACCACGAGCAACATGTGCTGATGTGTTATGAATTAAAAGTACAAAGAAGTTGCATTTAAAAATGTGCATTTCTGCATCTAACCAAAAGCCTGTCTCTTCCATAGTCATCTCAGAGGGGCTATGTTTACAGACAAATATTAATGACTCAGTGAAAATGTTGTGTGTGGACATTGCAAGCTAGCAAAGAATTTAAAAGCATTATTTATTTATTTAAAAAAATTAAGAAGAAGAAGAAGAAGAAGACATTATTTAACAGTTGTATTTAATTGATAAAATAGTTTTTTGTTTCTTTATGTCAGTTTAGAAATTTTTGTTTTTAAGTTGTTATAGATCTTCTCTTCCTCACTCTTCATTTTTCACCAGCAAATGGTAATGAGCCTTCGTGTTTCTGAGCTCCAAGTGTTGTTGGGATATGCGGGACGGAATAAGCATGGGCGCAAACATGAACTTTTGACCAAAGCTCTCCACCTACTCAAGGCTGGTTGCAGTCCCGCAGTGCAGATGAAGATCAAAGAGCTCTACAGGCGGCGCTTTCCAACCAAAATGGTTTCGCCAGTGGACCTAGCTCTTCCCGGTGTTCACGCTGCAGCCAGCTTGCCCACTGGCCTTGCCCAACTGGGGTTTGACAGCCACGGTTCCCCATCACCGCTGCTGCCTGTTTCCTTACTCGGGCCTAAGCACGAGCTGAGTCTGCCTCATCTTTCCTCCGCTCTGCACCCTGTACACCCTGATGTCAAGCTCCAGAGATTGTCATTCTACGATGTGCTGGATGAGCTGATAAAGCCAACCAGCCTGGGTGAGTCCACAGCTTCCTGTTCAGCTGTGTTTAGTGATAGCACCTCACCATTGGGTGCATCCCATGAAAGCACCGGGTAAAAGTTCAGCATCTGTTGACCCCGGTCATTTCTGTAGGTTTCCCCACTGACTCTGTGTTTCTGGTTTCTTTTTCATAGCTTCAGACAACAGTCAGCGGTTCCAGGAAGCATGTTATGCCTTTGCATTAACACCGCAGCAAGTTCAGCAGATCAGCAGCTCCATGTAAGTGAGAAAGCTTCTTGGTACATTCGGCGAGTTAAATAAATGAGAAGGCAAATAACTGTCACTTTTAAAGCTTTATCGCTAATTAACCTTTTATAATCAGATATCGGAGAAAACCGAGTCATTCATGTGTTGTGTGTTAAATATTTCTTCTTTTTGAATTCTTCAGGGACATATCCGGGACCAAATGTGACTTTGCCGTTCAAGTCCAGTTAAGGTATGACTAAGATAGCCCTTTCTTTTGAGCATCTGTTTTAATCGGTGTGATGTGGCGGTGTGAGTAATGGGTCTGTTTTTAGCTGCTCTCCATTTTGAATCAGCCAGAAATAGTAATGTCACATGAACAAAAGTTTAGAGAAAAAAAGAGCAACTGTGCACACATCCAGACTAACTTTTCTTTTAAGTGACAGAACAGAAAAAGGTTTGGAAACTAAGTGGCTCCAAGTAATAAGTGAACCCTTAAAACACTGATACACAAGCAACACTTTGATCCTCAAGCGTGCCAAAGAACAAAAAGCCTAAGAGAGCTCATGCAGCTGAACAAAAGTTCATGCAATCCTGAACAAAAGTTGCGACAGTTTTGTTTGTTTTAAGCATGCTTCTAGTGTTTTTCTTTTCAAATTTAAGAAATGATAGCCTCAACCTGCTAATTATGATTTTAGTCATCGTTAATGATAAGTGACAAAGATGAGATCCTGCCATCCATGCTCTTCTGCTTATCGTTATCAGGGTCATTGGGGGGGGCTGGGGGGCTGGAGCCCATCCCAGCTACGCAAAGATAAGAATTGAGTTGAATTACATTGAGGTCAAATTTTCAAATGAACAGTGGAGGATACAAGGCATGTTTTTCTCTTGGGGGCTCAGGCTTTTGTTTATATTCACAATAAACATGAGGGATTACAAAAATAACCAAAGGAAAGTACAAAAATATTTGGATGTGGACACATTGTTACCACACTGAACAGTAAAGGTGAAGTTTGCTTTAAAGAACACATAATTTATCCAGTCTAGCCTGTAGGATTTCCCACGCCAGCATATATATGACAGAGAATACTTAATGACATAAAAAGTGGTGAATGACATCCGTTAAGAAGTGCTCTCCTGTATCATAGATGGAGATGGCTGTACTTGACACAACCGAAAACCTAAAATAAGCAAGAAAGAAAGAAAGCCAGCCTTTTTGTCAAAGTGGTAACTGAACAGAAACAAATTGTGTTTGCCATTTTTTCCTCAACATCTGAACTTATCCTCGATGCAATTTGTTTTCTCTTATTTTCAGATT